GGCCAGCAAACGGTACCTCAGGTCGTTTTTCCCACGTACGGCCTCCGTCCTTGGTCCCCTAAGGCTGCACTTGGCAATCCTGAAGGCATAGCTCCGCCGGTTCACCACTTGCGCCGGCTCAACTACGGCAGGGCGGCGTGTCGGGCTCCTTACAGCCTGCTACGATGCCTTTCTACCACCTCTCCGCCGAAAAACCCCGCTCATGGCGCTGCTTAGTGCCGCCCTCGCTTAACACCCGCGGCGACTTTTGCTATCGTTGACGCAGACATGTAGCTCTACGTGGCGTGACCTTGATATGCCGGCCCCCCGCAAGTCAAACTACATTCTTTTCTGGGCACAGTCCTACCCGGTCAACGCGACGCCGCTCGTAACTTCGCCCGTACGTGCGAGGCTGTGGCCGCCTCGGAACCTCTACACTTGTTCTACCGGCGTTGCATGGCCTTCCTCGACCCAGGCTCGGTCAGGTTAGCGCGTGCCCACAAAGTGCACGCCCACACACTCTCTAATCAATACAAATGGGACGCGCCCTCAGATATCGTCAGGCGTGCTCTTCCTGTGAGCTGCAAAACATGCCCAAATACCCTTGTAAGGGTATTCGGGTTGCCCCACCATTAGAGGGGTGCTTTCAAACTATTCATGGTCTTCACCATTTCAAGATCGTTCATGATTGATGCATAAAGAGCATCATGAAAATCATGGATGAACATTAAGTGGCGAAGATCTCGAATGGTATGAAAGTAACCCCCCGAGCAGCAGAGGGGTGCTTTTATACCATACATGGTCTTCGCCACTTCAAGATCGTCCATAATTTTCATGATGCATACGGACCATCATGAAAATCATGAATGGACCTGAAGTGGTGAAGATCATGAATGACACGAAAACGCCCCCTCCGACCACTAGTGGGGGCCTTTCAAACCATTTGTGGTCTTCACCACTTCAAGATCGTTCATGATTTTCATATTGCATCAAAAACATCATGAAAATCATGAACGGACCTGAAGTGGTGAAAATCATGAATAGCATGAAAGCACCACCTCCCGCCACCGACGTGTTGCTTTCAGATACTCTTTATGCATCATGAAAATCATGAACGATCTTGAAGTGGTGAAGACCATAAATGGTATGAAAGCACCCCTTCCCAAATGCATAAACAACATCAGAAAAATCATGAACGAACCTGAAGAAGTGAAGATCATGAGTGGTATGAAAACACCCCTCTCGGTCACCTTGGGAGGTGTTTTCGGACCATTCATGGTCTCCACCACATCAAGTTCGTTCATGATTCTCGTGATGGGTAAAAAATATCATAAAAATCATGAACGAACCTGAAGTGATGAAGGTTATGAATAGCATGAAAGTACCCCCCCCCGATGCATAAAGAGCATCATGAAAATAATGAACAAACCTTAAGTGGTGAAGACCACGAATGGTCTAAAAGTACCCCCCCCGATTTTCATGATGCATAAAGAGCATCATGAAAATAATAAACGAACCTGAAGTGGTGAAGATCATGAATAGTATGAAAGCCCCCCCCTCTCCGTGATGCATAATGAGTATCGTAAAAATCATGAATGAAATTGAAATAACGAACATTATGAATGGTGTGAACGTACCCTCTCCGACTACCTGTTAATGCAAGCTGAAAATCATGAATAAACCTGAAGTGGTGAACATCATCAATGGTATGAAAACACTCCTCTCGGCCACCTACTAATGCAACCGGAAAATCATGAAAGAACCACAAGTGGTGAAGACCATGAATGGTCCGAAAGGACCCCCCCGATCACCAGTTAATGTAACCTGAAAATTATGAAGATATTCACTATTTAGGGGGGTCTCTTAAAAATTCCCCCCCCCCCCTTCAAATCGCGAATTTGAAATTGTGTGGAGGGGGGTTGTTATGCGCAACCCCGTTTTGGTATTAAAAAAAAATTGGTGAGAGGGTGCCGGGGGGGGGGAGGGGGGCTTAATGGTCGTGGGAGGGGGAATGGAGGGCCGTGGGAGGGAGGTTTAACGCCCGTGGGGGGGGGGGGGAGTGACTTAAGGCTCTTGGGAGGGCCATCGTGGAGGAAGGGGGGGTGGGCTGGGGGTTGTCAATTGTGCATGCATTTTTACGTGGGAGGAGATACGCTACGATGTTTTCTGTATACGAGACAATTTCAAGGCGCCCAACATCCATAGAAAAGAAGACAGCGCCATGCCACATAACCATATGGAGGTACCCACTTACATATGAGACGACAGTTGACAATAAAATATTTACAATTTTTAGTTGAGAGATAGGGTTAAGAGTATGGGCAAATAAACATCCATACATGACAAGCAAAGTTCACATGTTGTTTGAACATCCACGCATGCAATATCACTTGAGTAACACAATCCGAATCTCTCGAGGATTCATACTAGAAGAGAAGTCAAAGATTAAATCTGCACAAAAAAGTAGAATCGTGCCCGTCTGAACAACGTGTAAGAACTATAAACAAAAGACACGTTTGCTCGAACGACAAATCAAAACGAGTGCACGAAAAAAGAACAAATGTAGAGCCTGTGTATGAGAAAACGGGATCACTGAATGCTAAATAAGCCTAGGTTACCAAATCAGATGTTCGGGACCCCCCTGACCGTCTGGGGTTGTCCGATCGGACAACTGGTCGGACGTCCTCCCCGGATAGTCTGTCCGAAGCCCGAATGGCCAAAAAAAAAAAAAAAAAAAAAAACTCAAAAAATTCCGAAAACAAAATATATCTGTCTCTTATACACATCTAGATGTGTATAAGAGAATGGTATGAAAGCACCATCT